CGTTATGCCGTTATCTTCCTCGTCCCCCTCCCTCACAGCCGTTTATCCGCCTCGTCCCATCTCACACCGTTATCCCCTACAATGTCCCTCCCCTCGTGCCGTTATCTCACCTCGTCTCCCTCCCCTCTCGCACCGTTTCCCTCGTTCCCCTCCCTGCGCCCACGTTTATTCTACTCGTCCTCCCCTCACGCGCGTTTGATCCCTCGCCCCCTCCTCAACGTTATCCCTCGTCCACCCTCCTACCTCGCAGTTAATCCCCGTCCACACCTCAGTCCACTGCGTTTATCCTTCTGGCTCCTCCCCTCAACGTTATTCCCCTCTTTCCACTCCCTCACACCGTTATCCTCGTCCCTTCCTACACCGTTTTATGTCCCTCTCGTCCCCTCCCCTTCGCACCGTTATCCCTTCGTCCCACTTCCCCGTCACACCGTATTCCCCTCGTCACCTACGCTCGCACCGATTATCCCCTCGCCACCGTTATCCCCTCGTCCCATCCCACTCACGACGTTAATCTTCTGTCCCCCTCCCCTCGACACGTCTTAGTCCTCTCGTCCCCTCCGCCTCACGCTCGTTATTCCCCTCGTCCCCTCCCCTCGCACCGTTATCCCCTCGTCCATCCTCCACGTTATCCCTTTTCCGTCCCTCCCCTCACGCCGTTTATCTCGTACCCCTACCTCCCACACGTATCCCTCGTCCCCCTCCCTCAGACCGTATATCCTCGGCCCCCTCCCTGCGATGCCGTGCTATCTCGTCCCCTCTCACACGTTATTCCCTCGTTCGCCTTCCTCACGCGTTATCCCCCTTCGTCACCCTCCCCTCGCGTCCGTTATCCTATCCCCTCCCTCACGCCGTTTTCCGCTGTCCCTCCTGAACCGTCTCTCCTCGTACCCCTACCCCTTCGTGCCGTTATCACCCTCAGTCATCCCTCCCCCTTACCACCGTATTTAAATTTTTTTTTCTCCCCCTACGTCCCTCCGTACACGTTATCCTTTTGCCGCCCGTCCCCTCACACCGTTTTATCGCCTCCCCTACCTCGCACGTCTATCCCTGCCCCCTCCCCTCACACCGTTATCCGGCTCGTCCCCTCCTTCACGCGTTATCCTCGTCCCTCTCTCACGATGTATCCTCTCTCGCCCCTCCATCAGTGCCGTTATTATCCCCTCGTCCCCTCCCCTCGCACCGTTATCCCCTCGTCCCCTCCCCTCACACCGTTATCCCCTCGTCCCCTCCCCTCACACCGTTATCCCCTCGCCCCCCCGCCGCTCTATATTCTCGTTGAGCTTACGGAGATAATGTGTCCGCCGAGGCCGTGAGCGGCGTCTGCACACTCGATGACGGCGCTCAGCTGCGGATAGCCGACGCCCGCCTTCTTACGGGTCGTGCACACCGACCCCGGTCCGATGCCGACCTTGATGATGTCAGCGCCAGATAGGATCAGCTCCTCCACCATCTCACCTGTGACGACGTTTCCGGCCTGCGATAACAGAGCAAGCGACCGGCGGCCATGTTTAATGAGAGAGACGCGTCGCATAAACAGACTGATTTCTGCGGAGTAACCGGTTTGTAATACAATAAATTAAGACGTAGAACGCTCTATCCATTATTACGCTTGTGTCGCGTCATGCCGTTTCACTGACATTCATTTCCTAACTGTTTACATTGAGATTTTTACATGATGGCATATTCATCATTTATAGGAGACAAAATTCTACTAGTTTGCTCATAATTCACTACATACGGCATATGTACTCACAATGATAGTGTGCTCAGGAAACTCTTTGCGAGCACGCCGCACAAAATCAACAAAATGCTCCGAGTAACCATTGGCCACATCCAGACATATGTACTTGATCTCTGGCACAGCTTCATTGATGGCTTTGAGTTTTTCCAGATCAGCCGCGCTGCTTCCCGAGCTGGCTGCTATATGCTGTACGCACAACAACAACAAACCGTGCTTAAATAACGGCAGTGTTTCCTACAGCAACTCGGTCTTTACAACCATTAGTTCTTGTACAGACCGTTCTGAAAATAGCTCTGTCTCAATGGCTGCTATTCTCAAATGTTGATTTTGCAACTGATGAACCTGGCATATAATAATAAGTTAATAACACATTGTACTACACGGTTAATTACAATTCCATAGAAGTTCAACTCTAAACATTGTGCAACACATTAACCATATTATTCTAATCACCTCAATTCTTCATTGAGTAACAATGACATAGTGAGTGTAAATCAGCACGTACCCCAAGGAGATCCTTATTATTCAATGCAAATTCTTTCCACTCCTCTATGCTGTAGTGTTTGTGTATTGTCGTAAAGCAGTCATTCTGCAAATACAATGACAACAGTGTCAACTTGTCAAGTGTGACAAGTCTTGAACAGATTGGTCTAGGACAGTTTTCATGCGCCTGTGTCCTTGCCACACACGCACGCACAGACACGCACACACACACACTCACACACGCACACACACACACACACACACACACACACACACACACACACACACACACACATACATATATATATATAATTAGCAATCAGATAACTATAATAAAGAATAATTTTATTAGGTTTCAAATGCAAATAATGTTTTATCTCTGCCTCTGATTGAATACAGTCATTAGTGTGCACCTTTGCCAAAACTTTTGCCATCTCGAACGTTCCCACAGTATCCATGTTTGAAGCAATAACTGGGATTCCTTCATAGGTGACATTGGAGTTGCGGAAGATATATGGCCTGCTAAGATCAACCTGAAAAAAATGGCTAAATAATTGAGTGACTAAAATAAGGTGATCGTTATAATTGATTAATTGAATTGTGATTCATTGAGCATGTGTCCAGTACATGATCAATGTTGGCCTAGATGAAATCAAAGAACTGAAATACCAGTACACATTAGTAAAAATGTCTTATAGGATCTAGGAGTATGGGGTTATATATATACTAATTACAATTAAGTAGACTATAAATAAATGTACATGTGAGATTAACACATAACATGGTGAGCACCCTAGTATCAGAACATTGCCTGTAATATAATGTAATTAAGCTGGTTATATGGTTCTACAGCTTCCAAATAATTATATCTAATATTTACTAACTACTCCGACCCGACCAATGACAGCTCGTCTTTGTGTTACGATAGGTTGTGTACACTTGAAGGTTTGTGTAAAATACCAAGTTCTGGTACAGGTTAGCGAATGAGCAGTGTAGGGAGGGGGAGGGAGGAGGAAGTTTAGAGTAGGACTAGTAGGGAGAAGCTAGTGAAGAATGAGGAAGGGGAGAAGCTGGTGGAGAAGGAGGAAGGGGAGAAGGATTAATCTATGGTGTATAACCTTTTGCTTTGAATATTTTGCATCTGAACTGACAATCAATCCCAACCAACTGGTGTAGGCTAGCTGGCACAATAATGTTCATTTTCATACTTTAAATCCGAGTGTTTTCTAGCTCATCAAGAAATCTTAATCGTGAATTAAATCGTGAATTAATTTCCAACGGCATTATTACGGGGCAGGTAACCCAGTCTAACACGAGGTAGAGTAGACTGGTACACTTACCGACCACTCCTGTCATTGTCAATGGTGACAAAAAAAATCTGAATTTATTTATGAGAGGTGAACTCGATTTGGAACCAGCAAACCAGCAAATTCACCCCTACATTTTGGTATTTTTATTCTATTAATTATTTTGAATTTTCCGATGGCTTTGCCCATGCAAAACAAATATTTTCACCCCACGTGCAGTGCTTCAAATTTACACACAGAGTGTCCCAGATTGCATCTCAGAGCTTCTACAATTCAAACATTTTCCAGGGGCATGCCCCCGGACCCCCCTAGCACTGATTTTGCTCGCGTACTCTTTCTCTCTCTCGCTCGGTCATTGTAGCTGACGACTTCTACCGGAAAAAGAATAGAAGCCGCTTGCCAAACAGATCACAGATTCGTGCGCACAATGAGTTTTGTTCTCATGCACTGC